GATCTTCTCAAAGAGTTTCCCCAGGATTGAGGTAAGACTGACGGGCCTATAGTTGCCCGGGTCCTCCCTCTTCCCCTTCTTGAAGATGGGGACCACATTTGCTCCCTTCCAATCATCTGGCACCTGGCCCAAGCACCACGATCGCTCATAGAGCCATGCCAGGGGCCCCGCAATAACCCCAGCTAGCTCCCTCAACACCCTGGGGTGGAGAGCATCCGGACCCGCTGACTTGAACGCGTCCAGCCCCTCAAGAAGCTCTCTCACCCGGGAATGAATGATTCACTCATTGCTTTCAAAGGGGCCTTTGCCCTATCCACTGAAAACTGTTCTCAGTCAGCTGCTTGCATCTGAATTGTTTGTATGTACCTCACTATTAACTAAACGTAGGAGGGCGTCACAGTTGGAATAGATTGGGTGAAGGGTTTGAAAGGCAACTGAGGCAGGGTTATGGGAGGTGCACGTGGCTACTGCTTTGTGTCTCAGGGAAATTTTCATTCCATTTGAATCCTAGTGCATCAGCAGGATTCATGCTGACAGAAGAACACAATAAGTTTCACACCTAGAGCATTACAAATGTATTTGGTGTACGTGTTATGTGGATGGAGTAAGTACATAACTTCATTGCAGCTCCTCAGTGAAATACGGTCCTAAGACCACACATAAGAAATCGGTTAGGTAGTAGGACAAGGGACACTGCTTGTCCGTGGTGGTGAAAAGGGAAGCTGTTCTTGAAGAACAGCCATGAATTTAAGACCACGTTACAAACTACGCAGGCAGACCAGTAATCCCTCCACCAGCACACCGATTACTACTTGTGACTTTGTGGACCAACTGCATCTTTAATGTGCTGACAGCTTACGTATGTTGTTACTTAGCCAGAATGCGACTCCCAGGGTGAGTTCATGCCTCAAAAAATTGGCAATAGAACAGGAAACCTTTCACTTGCTGGTTCAAATCCAGCCCTGGTCAATGGAGAATGAAAGCTGTTGTCTCTAAACAGCAGGCAGATGGTCACGGTCCATTTTCCCCATAGGCAGGTACCAAGGTCACTAACCCCTGCCACAAGTGATGATAATTGTCAGGCTCAGCAGAGAGAGGTAAATGGTTGAAATGAATCGGTCTCATCCTCACACAAGCCACCTCTTCAGGCTGGGTGGGAGCTCCCTTGCAGAGCAGTATGGGGCTGCCAATGGATGTTACCTTTGTGCCACTATAAAAAGGTTTAAGGTGGCACAAAACCTGAGCAAACCGACGTCCTTGCCCCTTGTCCTGTCACAAATGCCCCAAACTTCCTAGTAATAATTGGTGCTGTCTGCTTGCGGTGCAAGAGCACAGGTGGTCTGGGGCTAGCCATCCTGGGCAGGCAGTCCCCAGGCTTCAGGGCCCTGATTCTGCAAAGAACGGCCCCAAGTGCCTGGCCCCAACCTGGGGCTCGTGTCTGCTGGGCTTCCTGGCTTCATGCCAGTGCACGACAGCCCTGGGCAATGTCTCTCTGCCCAGCTATTGGATCAGCTGTGCCAGGATACATCCCAGCAGAGCTGGTCCCACCATGAAGATGATGTCCATTTGTAGCATGGGAAAATCTTACAGTCTGTTCTGCAGTCTTTTCTAGGGGTAAGCAGAAAAGTTCAGTTGTCAGGGATGATAAGATGGGACCTTAACAAATACCCTAATTCACTCACGTACGTTAGTAGCAAGTGCTACACTGACTGGCTTTATGTTCTGCAAAGAACGGGAAAAGGACATTAAATGGTGTTTGTGTGATAACATATTCCAGGTAGAGCAGGTTGCTAAATTAATTATTTTTCTGTAAAAAGAAATCCTGTTGGAGATGGGAATTTTTGGCTTTCACCCAGGCTTTTTTTATTATTATTATTAATCATCTGGACTTTATTAAATTTTAATGACCTTATTGTTTTGATTGATAGCCCAGTATGCAAGAGCCTGATCTTATCAGAAGTCACTAATGAGATGATAGGAGAATATCAGTGTGGTAAAAATACCATCCTGAATGGGAAAGATGATTCAGTGGTTAAGAAAATTAAATTCACTTTTTGGTAAGGCTGTAATTGCTGTTACTCAAACTTTATATTTAATGACTTACCCTTGGCATTCTAAAGGGGGTTTTCTACCCCACTTTTCTTTTCCATAAGAGCCTGATTTGTTAATAAAAGCTATCTGATGCTAAATCTTGGTACATACTCAGTGTTCCCTTAAATCCCACCAATGTCTGTTCTTTCTCTGATCTCTGCCTGAGAACTCTGGTGGCTTTTGAAAATTTAAACCAGGTAGAATCTGTATACGAAGCAGAGGAAATAATGTGCCATTTTCCACTCTGTAACTTTGCAAAACTACTTCAACTTCTGTACCGTTAGAGTTGCAAAATGACAAATGAAAGTGTGATCCATTCCATCGCATCTAAGAGCAGAAAGGATAAAAGGAGAAAACAAAAATGAAAACTGAAACTTGAAAATGCCTAGAGTTTTGTGGGAAATTTTGGTCCAAAGAACATTTAAGGATCAGATATTTGCTGGTCTCCATTTTGGAAAGGACACTTTTTGTCTAGGAAATGTTTTGGAATGGAAAAGCTTCACTGGATCTTGCCATCAGTGTTTCTCACTTGCCACATGGGAAACTTGGGGCTGAGATTTTAAAATTTGCCTAACAGACTTTAGCATACAACTTGAATTGTTTTATTTAAATCCCCTTGGGAAATCCCTAGCTTCAGTTTTCAAGTCTATGATTTTGAGTTACCTGTACACAGCAACTTCTTAAAATGTTTTAGAAGAAAAATATATATATATTTTTTCTTCTAAAACATTTTAAGAAGTTGCTGTGTATATATATTATTCCCCCCCCCCCCCCCCCTTTCCCTCTTTCTACATTTTGCCCAAAAAAAAATATATATATATTTTTTCTTCTAAAACATTTTAAGAAGTTGCTGTGTATATATATTATTCCCCCCCCCCCCCCCCACATTTGACTGATTCTAAATTCTGGACAGAAATAAATATATATATATTTCTTCTAAAAAATTTTAAGAAGTTGCTGTGTATATATATTATTTTCTTTTCCCCCCACATTTGACTGATTCTAAATTCTGGACAGTCTTGGCTTATGCTCAGTGAAAGACTGGCTCTAACTCAAGTCGATGGGCATTTTGCCAGTGACTTCAGTTGAGCCAGGATTTCTTTCTGTATTCACAAATATTCGTCTTTAGGTTACTAGTGTTAGGAGCCTGGAAAGTTTCCAGCCCAAGGGGATTGTACTTGAGACAGTTGAAAGAAGAGGGCTGAAGTCTGGATGAAATTTTTAGAAGTATGTTCTGTGCCTCTCAACCTCCATAAGAAGTGTTGTCGTAAGGGGGTCCAAGAATGCCGGTAAACAGATCTGTTATTGAAACCAATGTTAAAGGAGT